CGTCATTATATGACCCCGAGATATATCCGCTAAAATCTCAAGGATTTTTGACACCAGGCCTCGAAACCTCTAAAATTTCTCAAAAAGCGTGGATATTAGCCTTAAATTTCTGAATTTTTTGACTTTTTTTGCCTGTAAATAAAAATTGCCGAAATGTTAACCATGGTCTCTAATATCCTCCGGGAGTCCAATTAGGTGGGTTGAACCATCCAATTTGCCTTTAAATGGTGAATTTACCGGTTTACAATCAACTTGCACCGATTTCATTAACTCAAACCTACCACACGAACATTTATGACAACATATAATGATTATTTATGGTTTAAAACAGTATTATATGACCCCGAGATGTATCCCCAAAAATCTCAAAACTTTTCGACACCGAGCCCCGAAACCTCAAAAAATTCTCAAAAAGCGTGGATATTAGCCTTCAATTTTGGAATTTTTTGACTTTTTTGGCCAGAAAAGTAAAACTTGCCGAAATATTTACCATAGTTCCTAATGCCCGCTGGTAGTCCAATTTGGTGGGTGGAACCTTCCAATTTGCATTTAAACGACCAATTTACCGGTTTACAACTTGCACCGATTAAATTAACTCAAGCCTGCTACGAACATTTATGACAACATATAATGATCATATATGGTTCCAAACGGCATTATATGGCCCCGAGATGTATCTCCTAAAATATTAATACTTTCTACACTATGCCCCGAAACCTTCAAAATTTCTAAAAAACATGGATATTAGCCTTCAATTTTGAAAATTCTTGATTTTTTTCGCTTGTAAATAAAAATTTCCGAAATGTTTATCATGTTCCTTAATTCCCTCCGAAAGTCAAATTGGATGGTTAAATTGGATGGGTGGAACCATCCAATTTGGCTTTTAATATAACGACAAATTTATCGGTTTACAACTTGCACCGATTTAATTAATTCAAGCCTACCGCGAACATTTATGTCAACAAAACATGAACATATATGATTCCAAACAACATTATATGAGCCCCGAGATGTATCCCACACAATTTCAAGACTTTTCGACATCGGGCCCCGAAACCTCCAAAATTTCTCAAAAAGTGTGGATTAATAGCCTTCAATTTTGAAAATTTTGACTTTTTTATCGCCCATAAATAAAAATTGCCAAAATGTTTAGCATGGTCCCTAATATCGTCCAGGAGACCCATTGGGTGGGTGCCAGCATCCAATTTGCCTTTAAACGTCCAATTTATAAGTTTACAACTTTCACCGATTTCATTAAGTCAAGACTACCACGAACATTTATGACAACAAATAATGATCATATATGGTTCCAAACAGCATTATATGACCCCAATATGTATCCCCTAAAATTTCAAGACTTTTCGACACGGGACCCCGAAACCTCAAAAATTTCTCAAAAAGCGTGGATATTAGTCTTCAATTTTGGAGTTTTTTGACTTTTTTTGCCCGTAAATAAAAATTGCAGAAATGTTTACCAGAGTTTCTAATATCCTCCGGGAGTCCAATTGGGTTGGTGGAACCATCCTATTTGCCTTTAAAGGCCAATCTATATACTATACTAAAAGACAAGCGCCTCAATGTGAGACTGACAAATGTCTTATTATGATTCGCTGTCTTTTATTAATTATTATTATTATTATTATTATTATTATTATTATTATTATTATTATTATTATTATTATTATTATTATTATTATTATTATTATTATTATTATTATTATACATTTATGTTTCCATATGTATAAAAAAATCTTTACATTTTGTTCTAAATAAATACATAAACTATTATAGTAAAGTCTGTTATAGTAAAGTAATAGACATATACACATGAACGGTATATTAAGAAAAGTATCATAAAATATGTTAGTATATGTAAATAATAATAGCTACATAAGAATAAAAAATCTTAGTATAAAAAATATCAAAATAACATTTTATGTATGGTAATTCATATTCTCTCTAGAATATTATGTTTATAATGAAAGAAGATAATTCGGTAAATATTAACAAGCCTATCAAAGGCATTATATACACTGTAAACTACGTATGGTAAGCTATAAAGTAGGCCTACTTTCCTACAATTAAGGGAAGATAAGTATACAGTATGCAAAACTATGCCAAAAAATGATGCATACATAAAATAGTTTCTGGTTTTAACATAGATAATATCTAATGAAATTTGTATGAAAAAATATTCTCATTCTATAACCATTAAATTTTCATATTTTCTTACTCTTGTAATGCTCATATTCAAAATTTAAATAATTTAATATATAATTTTATGAGTTTTATAACATTCATAGTTACTGTATAAGAATACATGTCCGTACAAAAATGCATTACATACATGATTGGTTAGTTGATAAAATATGTCTTTAATTCTTATTATTTTAATAAATATTTTTTTAATCATATAAAATTTATCAATAACCATTTCTATATATTTGTGTTGTATACTCAATCATCAGTTGTTGATTAGTTATATGGATATTATATGTAAAAGTTTTTGACACAATACTTAGCTTAGATAACTGTAAAATATGGCGGTGAATAAGATATAAGGTTACTAGGTTAGATCCCGTGCCATGCACGGTTTTTCAATTTTTGTCACGGAGTATCAATTTTTTTTTTTTAAAATCTAAAATACATTCATTTCAATTTTTGCAAGCTACTTAATTTTTTTTTAAAATATTTTTTGAATACATATTATATTGCTTCCTTCTATTTTGAACCTCGATGGAAATTTATTTATATTTCAAATATGATAATTTTTCATTCACTAAGTTGAAAATTATATATTCATGATTTTTTTACTATAAATAATCATTATACATTAAAAAGTAATTACTAATATAGGAATTTATTTATACCAAGATATGGTTAGATATTTATGTTTATAAATATATTATTCTACTATTTTTTTCCTTAAATTTTGGAAGTAAATATTTTGCGAATATAATCTATCAATTTTTAAAAGTTTTATTTTTTATTTTTAAAATTTTAAAATATATACTAAGGACACACCAGAAGATGACACGTGTCATTGCTGGTGTGTCTTTTAGTATATTGTTATTATTGATTATCGTGTTTGTAGATAGTGAATGCGACGGGTAAAACATGTTTAGATTGTATAGATACCGAACAAATAGTATGACAAGTAAATTTTAGTTTTTCTTCCATTGTTCTTCTACGGTAATATGCGGAATGTATGACAAGTAAATTTAGTTTTTCCTCTACTTCTCTTACGTAGTTATGTAGGGCAAAATAATTAATTTATTTTTCAATTATAATAAATAACATTATAAAAAAAATAATAGGGAATAAAAGAAAAGAATTGCAAATGACATAAAATACTATTCAAATCACATCTTTCTTTAATTTATTTACGTATCAACCATTATTGCAACTAGATAAAATTTTAATAATTAATTAATTGTTAGAGAAAATAAGCCCTTTATTACTAATTGAATTATCTTAGGATTTTTTTTCCTACGGGATCAATCATGCTTTTGTCAAAAAAATAATGATTTGATTTATAATCCGTGCAATGCACGGGCACTATGCTAGTTTAATTACTGATTTACAACTTCCACGGATTTCATTAACTCAAGCCTACTACGAACATTTATGACAACATATAATGATCATATATGGTTCCAAACGGCATTATATGATCCCGAGATGTATCTCCTAAAATATTAATACTTTTCTACACTATGCCCTTAAACCTCCAAAATTTCTCAAAAAGCGTGAATATTAGCCTTCAATTTTGAAATTTTTTTGATTTTTTTCGCCCGAAAATAAAAATTGCCAAAATGTTTACCATGGTCCCTAATTCCCTCCAGAAGTCCAATTGGGTGGGTGGAACCCTCCAACTTGCCTTTAAACGATCAATTTACCAGTTTACAACTTGCACCGATTTCATTAACTCAAGCCTACCCCAAACATTTATGACAACAAATAATGATCATATATGCTTCCAAATGGCATTATATGATCCCGAGATGTATCCCATAGAATTTCAAGACTTTTCGATACTAGGCCCCGAAACTTCCAATATGTCTCAAAAACCGTGGATATTAGCCTTCAATTTTTTTGAATTTTTTTCGCTCGGAAATAAAAATTGCCGAAATGTTTACCATGGTCCCTAATACCGTTAGGGAGTCCCATTGGGTGGGTGACACCATCCAATTTGCCTTTAAACATCCAATTTATTGGTTTACAACTTGCACCACTTTCATTAACTCAAGCCTACCACGAACATTTACGACACCAAATAATGATCATATATGGTTCCAAACAACATTATATGACCCTGATATGTATCCTCTAAAATTTCAAGACTTTTCATCACTGAGCTCCGAAACCTCCAAAATTTCTCAAAAAGCGTGGATATTAGTTTTCAATTTTGAAATTTTTTGACTTTTTTCTGCCCGAAAATAAAAATTGCCGAAATGTTTACCATGATCCCTAACACTACAAGAAAAAGGTGAATTAGCAACGGAATTTTGCGACTACCATAATAATTATTGCAAAAATAATTTTAGCGACTGAAAAAGACGAGTAGTCGCAAATTTTGCAACCAAATTTGCAGTAGTTGCTATGCGGTCGTTAATTAGCGACTGATTTTTGCGACTACTATAATAATCAGTTGCAAAAAATATTTTTGCGACAGAAAAAGACGAGTAGTCACAAAATTTGCAACCGAATTTATAATAGTTGCTATGCGGTCGCTAATCTGCGACACTCTTGTAATAATTTGCAACTAACACGATAGTCGCTACTATTATTTTTAATATTTATTAAAAAGAAATAAAAAAAAAAACCCTTAGTATAATAAAAAAAATAAAAATAAAACCCCTTATTCCTTTAAAAAAAAAAAAAAAAAAAGGTTGTTGCCGCCAAAAAAACAAGAATTATCAATCAGTCTTATTATCTTATTCACCGTCAAAAACAAGAACTATCATACTCTTCCTAAAAAAAAAAAAAATCCTTAATCATTTAACTCGTGAAACAAAACAAAAAAAAAAAGAAAAAAAAAGAATTAATCACTCAAGATACACGCAGAAGGGTTTTTCAAAGAGAATCAACCCTCAGCCCCTCACCGTCGTTCTTCACCTTCCTTAGATCCGCTGCGCCACCACGTCTCTTCCCAGGTAAGTTAATGCCTTCCACCCTTCGCTTATTGTAATTTGTTGACTATGAATTTTAGGGTTATCATTGATTTTTTTTTGGGTCCAATTATTGATTTTAATTTGGTTTCCATGGTCTAATTGAAGTCAATTAATTAAAAATCAATCAAAATTGATTGAGTATGCAAAAATCCCGAATGATTTTCAATGTAAAAATCCCATTTCTAGTTATTTCGACCCCTTTTTTTTAACTATTATTTGTAAAATATATACAAGTATATTTCATGAAGAAGGGGGGGGGGGGGGGGGGTTGTTGTTAATTGAATTCTCGTTTTGCTCTGAATTCCTGTTCATTAGAGGGTATTGAGGCTCGCTAGTTATAATTGAATTCTTGTTTGCTCTGATTTTATTATGTTTTTGAGCCTAATTTGCTGCTGGTTGGTTGTCATGGCAACCGTTGTGGGTGGTTGCTAGAATAACAGTATGTTAATTGAGTTTGCTCCTAATTTGAGTTGTGGGGCAGCAAGTTATTCTAATTGGATATAAAAAATTTACCTTGACCCGGCATCGAATGCATAAATGCATTCACTCATTCTGTTTTCTGAGTATCTGCTTGGTCTGAATTCACTTCACCTCTATATAATTTAATGTGTAATCATGGATCACTTATTTGGAGAATTGGAGTTGCTTTTGGATTGGAAATGTGTTTGGAGTTATTATGAAGTTAAATATATTAGCAAATCATTAAAGCGAATTGGTGCTGGAGTTATGCATTTCAACTTCAGGTTTCTTAGTGAACATATAGCTGTTGTGAGTTGTGCAAACTACTTGGGTAAGGACTCAGGAAGTCAGGGGTGAAGAACTTGTAATTAAGCATGCAAGTTTCTTGGTCATTCACTGTTAACTTGACTAAGAAACTTTTAATAGTGTTAATTACATACTACGTATGTTGATTTTGATATCCTCACATTTCCCACTACCCTCATCTTCTTATCTGGGTTGAATAAGGTGTATTGTTGTCATTGTCAAATCCGGTTTTATTTCCCAACATCTATGTGACATCAACCTTGGCCATTAGATGAGGATATCATTAGATGAGGATAACCACAATGCAAATTAGGCTCAAAAACATAATAAAATCAGAGCAACTTAGGGGCTAGCATAACAGTATGTTAATTGAGTTTACTCCTAATTTGAGTTGTGGGGCAGCAAGTTATTCCTTATTACGCTCTTGTAATAAGGTGTTAGTTAATTGAGTTGTGGGGCAGCAAGTTAGGGGCTAGAATAACAGTATGTTCATTGAGTTTTTTGTCCGATTTTTTTATTTTAATTGGGTTTCTATTGCGAATTGATATTAATCTAATTATTGATTGAATTGCAAATTGGTTTAATCTGATAATATCACAGATGCGAGAATTATTCTTGAAAATAATACGAATTAAGTAACTAGAATTAGGAATTAGTATTTCTTGATTAGATATTTAAAGTTTAGCGGTGCTGTTGGTAAATGGTAATAAAAAGCAGATAATTTGATCTACTAGTGATGATATAACGAACTTTCTGTTCCTGAATAAAATAAATGATCAATAAATTATCAACTTAAAAAGTTGGATGCCGTGCCTTGCAGGATATCAGATAAACCAATTTTATGTCAGTATATTTTAACTTAAGCTTGCCTATGCTATTAAGAGTAAGTTAACATTCCATATTTCAGACTAGTTGAAGTTATATGCTGAGAATTGCCACAAACTGTATTTACTTCACGTATGTACAGACTTTCTGCTGATTTTGCATAGGTGGTAGAGCCGAGTGACTTTTACTATTGCTGAATGATCATAAATTTAATTGGATATTGTTTTTTAAGTTGCTTTGGTCTCTGTGTATGCGTATGCGTGGAATATCCAGTATCACTCAATTATGATGTAATGTATAGTTAAATCTGATGAGATGTTTAGAAGTATATGCTCAATTATTGATTGTGACGTGTGAGAGTTAACTGTTTTTTAAAACATCTATAACAAAAAAAACTCCCTCAGTTGGGAAATATTGAAATGCAAGTAAACATAAGCATAAATGTCTATGCATCAACAGATGCATGAAGTCAAATTTGAGGAAGTTCTTTTCTCCTTAACCAAGGTGTATATATGATATTTTATATGCATTAAGATTATAATTAAATGTGTGGTCTGTGATATATAATTTTGTACATTGCTTGGAACAAGACAATGCCATGCACATGCCCTGCAGATATTCCACTTGTTTAGTAATAAATACTACTAAAGTCTCATTTTCCCATATGTTCTATCGATATTGAGAAGCTCCTACCATTTTCATGGGATTGTCGATCAGGGAAACATTTGTTTAAGCATCATCAACCTGATTGTGGATTAGTAATTACGACTGATGCCCACATTCAAATCTAAACTACCACCATTGCTGTCATTTGCTTGTCATGGAGAGGATTTTGATTCTTTAAAAGCATCAGATGAGCCGTCGGATCCGTATGTTGACATGATTATTGATGCATTTGGTCAAGTTGATGGTGATCCAATGCATGAAGATATTCTGAATGAATTTGACAAAAAAGCTGGGGACCGACTTAGGGGTACATTGAACCAAGTTTTCAAAATGGCTCTCCATAAGCAAGTTAGTTTCATAACAGACATTGTTCGAGCTGAATTCATAAATAAGCGTAAGCATCCTGATTTTGTGAAACGTTCTAACCAAGCAAGAGATAATCGGTTATCTGGCCAAACATTAGAGAAGTTTGACCCTGGCCATCGCCAAGGTAGCATATCTACTCCTTAAGTGGTTAAAAAAAATGGTAAGTGTATGATTTTAGCAGCAAACTTATGATTTTTAATATAAGATTGAAGCAAGTAGAAACTTTTTAGCCACTAATATAGATGACTATAACTGGTCTTTATTACAATTGCTCTGTAGTCTATGTCCCCCTATTTTTTGTTGTTTTATTTAAGTGCTAACAACTTCTTCTAATACAAGGCAAAGAAAAAGGATGGAATTTTACCAACTGCTGCTGAAGTCTATGAAAGCACTCATTCTGTTTGTGTGGGCAGTGATGAAGTTGAATTGATGGGTGACAAGTCTCAAAAAGTCATGGTATGAGTATACTTCTATATTTTTCTAAGATTACAAAAAGATATATGGTAGTTAATGTTTGGAGATATAATGGATTGTTTATTTGTTTGTGTGATTGAGTTGGAGGATGAGAATGATTTGCCGGCATTAATCATATGATTAATGTGGTATGGCATAATGTGAATTGAAACAAGTTTATTTTGAAGCCATACCCTATAGGAGGGAATTCTTCAATTTACAAAGGAGACTCTGTCGAAATTATTACTAATAACTGCTTACATAAATTATTTTAATAATAACTGCTTGGACCCTCACTGCCATCAATACCATTTGCTTTGCTTAGACCATCACCTAACTTTTCACTTTGTAACCAAACTCTGATGGTATCTAAATAAATTAAATGGTATTTAAAGGCAAGTTTTTACTGCTATGTACTGATCTGATGTCCAAAATGAAAGACTATAAGATAACAATTAAATTAAATTGTGTTTTAGAAGTCCAAACAAGTTTTTATCCCGGACGATGTCCCGAGTCATTGCTTGTATTTTTATTATATTTGTTTTTTTTAAAAATGTATTTAGTTTATTTAAGTTTTAACATTTGAGATCATAGTTACTAATACATATCTTAATGCAGGGAGAATATATGGAAAAACTTGAGGAATATAAGAACAAAGGAATTGAGATAAACCCCGACAAAGTCTACTTGGAGGTTGTAGGTGGGCAAAAGAAAGGAAAAGTCTACGGTTTAGGGAGTGCTTCACATATGTATTACAAGAGTGATCCTACTTCTCAATCTACTGCATCATCTTCCACTCCTTCCATGATTTCTCAATTAAGTTCTCAAGTTGAAGAACTAAAGAAGATGGCGGAAGAAAACCATAACAAGGTAGAAGAAAGCCAAAAAATAGCGGCAGAGAGCTTAAAATGTGCTAAGGAATTCGTCGAAAATCATGAGATCGAAAAAGCTACATGGAAGAAGGAAAAATTAGCTATGCAAAAAACATTGCAGGAAATGGCATCACTTGTAAAACAAGTTTACCGTCCTTATAAGCCTCCTACGCCTGCAGTCACCCGCTCTCGTGATACAACTAAGTGATTTTTATTTTCTTGGTGGTAATTTTATGAACAATTGGTCTTTTACATTCTCATTAATTCTTGTTTGAAGTAGCTTTTTTTTATATGGGAGGTGACTTTTGGAACAATTAGTCATATGAGTTAAATATTGTTTTTTAATACATTGATACAAAATTGATTGATATTTTGGATATTTGAATAAAATTAACATTTTGGTTATTTCAATTTATGCATGGGTACCTTTTTTGTTTTGTGATCAATATTGGTCGTCGCTTAATTATGGTCTCAAATATTGATAGTTAGTCGCAAATATTTAGCGACTGCAAATTTGCTTTAGAGACTAATTGGTTAGTTGCAAAATCATTAGTCTCAGTAGTCGCTAATCTGTCACAAATAATTAGTTTTGTAGTCACAAAAATTTGGTCTCGTATGTAGTTTCTAATCCGTCACAATAAAACTAGTCTCCGTAGTCGCAAAAGTTTAGTCTCGTAGTCGCAAAAATTTGGTCTTGCAGTCGCTAATTCGTCGCAAAAATAGTCTTAAAACATTGATCTCTGTAGTTGCTAATCCGTCGCAAATATATTACGACGGACAATAATTTAGTTGCTAAAATTTGAAAGTTAGTCGCTAAATGGTAGTTGCAAAGGCGTTGCAAATCTGTCGCTAAATTTGCGACTGTTCAAAAATTAGTCGCAAAAATGGATTTGCGACGAGGTCTTTGGCAACGAACCAAAGTAGTTGCAAATCCGTCGCAAATCCATTTTTGCAACGGATTTGCGACTACTTTGACCGTCGCTAATTACCCTTTTTCTTGTAGTGTAATACCCTCCGGGAGTCCAATTGGGTTGGTGGAACCATCCTATTTGCCTTTAAACGGCCAATTTAATTACCGGTTTACAACTTGCACGGATTTCATTAACAGAAGCCTTCTATAAACATTTATGACAACATATAATGCTCATATATGGTTCCAAACGACATTATATGAACCCAAGATGTATCTCATAAAATATCAATTCTTTTCTACACCATGCCCTGAAACCTCCAAAATTTCTCAAAAAACGCAGATATTAGCCTTCAATTTTGAATTTTTTTGATTTTTTTCGTCCGGAAATATAAATTTTCGAAATGTTTACCAGGCCATGGTCCCTAATTCCCTGCGGAAGTCTAATTGGGTGGGTGGAACCATCCAATTTGCCTTTAAACGACCAATTTACCGGTTTACAACTTGCACCGATTTCATTAATTTAAGCATATCACGAACATTTATGACAATAAATAATGATCATTTATGGTTTTAAACGGCATCATATGACTCCGAGATGTATTCTATAAAATTTCAAGACTTTTCGATACTGGGCCCCGAAACCTCCAAAATTTCTCAAAAAGCGTGGATATTAGCATTCAATTTGAAAATTTTGACTTTTTTTTCACCTGGAAATAAAAATTGCCGAAATGTTACCATGGTCCCTAATACCGTCCAGGAGTCCCATTGGGTGGGTGGCGCCATCCAATTTGCCTTTAAACGTGAAATTTACCGGTTTACAACTTGCACCAATTTCATTAACTCAAGCCTACGTACCACGAACATTTATAACAACATAAAATGATCATAAATGGTTCCAAACGGTATTATATGACCCCGAGATGTATACCATAGAATTTCAAGACTTTTCGACACGGGGCCCCGAAACCTCCAAAATTTCTCAAAAAGTGTGGATATTAGCATTCAATTTTGAAATTCTTGACACTTTTTTTTGCCCGGAAATAAAAATTGCCGAAATTTTTACCATGGTCCCTAATATCATCCGGTATTCCTATTGGGTGGGTGGAACCATCCTATTTGCCTTTAAACGACCGATTTACCGGTTTACAACTTGCACCGATTTCATTAATTCAAGCCTACCACGAACATTTACTTCAACTAATAATGATCATATATGGTTCCAAACGACATTATATGACCTCGAGATGTATCCCGTAGAATTTCAAGACTTTTCGATACCGGGTCCCGAAACCTCCAAAATTTCTCAAAAGCGTGGATATTAGTCTTCAATTTTGGAATTTTTTGATTTTTTTTTGCCCGGAAATAAAATTTTCCGAAATGTTAACCATGGTCCCTAATTCCCTCCGGAATTCTAATTGGGTGGGTGGAACCATCCAATTTACCTTTAAACGACCAATCTCCCGGTTTACAACTTGCACCGATTTTATTAATTCAAGCCTACCACGAACATTTATGACAACAAATAATGATCATATATGATTCCAAACGGCATCATATGACCCCGAGATGTATCTCATTGAATTTCAAGACTTTTCGACACCGGATCTCGAAATCTCCAAAATTTCTCAAAAAGCATGGATATTAGCCTTCAATTTTGAAATTTTTGACTTATTTTTTTGCCCGAAAATAAAAATTGCCGAAATGTCTACCATGGTCCCTAATACCGTCCGAGAGTCCCATTGGGTGGGTGGCACCATCCAATTTTCCTTAAAACGTCCAATTTACCGGTTTACAACTTACACCGATTTCATTAATTAAAATCTACCACGAACATTTTTGACAACAAATAATGATCATATATGGTTCCAAACAGCATTATATGACACCGATATGTATCCCCTAAAATTTCAAACTTTTCGACACGTGGCCCCGTAACCTCCAAAATTTCTCAAAAAGTGTGGATATTAGTCTTCAATTTTGGAATTTTGTGACTTTTTTTTGCCCGGAAATAAAAATTGCCGAAATGTTTATCATGGTTCAAAATACCCTCTGGGAGTCCAATTGAGTTGGTGGAACCATCCTATTTGCTTTTAAACGGCTAATTTAATTACCGGTTTACAACTTACACGGATTTCATTAACTCAAGCCTAATACGAACATTTTTAACAGCATATAATGATCATATATGGTTCCAAATGGCATTATATGACCGCAAATTGTATCTCCTAAAATATTAATACTTTTCTACACTATGCCCCGAAAACCTCCAAGATTTTTCAAAAAGCGTAGATATTAGCCTTCAATTTTGAATTTTTTTTTATTTTTTTTCGTCCAGAATTAAAAATTGCCGAAATGTTTACCATGGTCCCCAATTCCCTTCGGAAGTCCAATTGGGTGGGTGGAACCATCCAATTTGTTTTTAAACGACCAATTTACCGATTTACAACTTGCACCGATTTCATTAATTCAAGCCTACCCCAAACATTTATGTCAACAAATAATGATCATATATGGTTCCAAACGGCATTATATGACCCCGAGATGTATCCCATAGAATTTCAAAACTTTTCGACATCGGGCCCCGAAACCTCCAAAATTTCTCAAAAAGTGTGGATATTAGCCTTCAATTTTGGAATATTTGACTTTTTTTCTCCCGAAATTAAAATTTGCCGAATGTTAACTATGGTCCCTAATACCCTCCATGAGTCCAATTAGGTGTGTTGAACCATTCAATTTGCTTTTAAACGACCAATTTACCAGTTTACAACTTACACTGATTTACTGGTTTACAACGACCAATTTAATTAACTTGTACCGAACCCGACTTTAACCGAAATTGACCCAAACCCGTTTTAACCCGTCAAAACCCGAATTTAACCCGACTTGTTACTAACCTGACCTGAATTCAACCCGACCCGTTCTTTACCCGACCCAAATTTAACCCAACCTGTTACAAACCCAAGCCGAAATCAACCCGACTTGTTATTGACCTGACCCAAATTCAACCCGACTTGTTATTGACCTGATACGAATTTTACCATACCTATTACTTACCCAACCCAAAAATTCAACCCGATTTGTTACTAACCTGACTCGAAATTAACACGACTTGTCATTGACCTGACCTAAATTCAACCCAAATTGTTGCTGACCCGATTTCAAATCACCTTAAATGCAATTTAGACCACCTTATTATTATTGATCAAAGCATTTTGTCTTGGGAGACCAAGTCGGTCCAGGCCAGCAAAAGAAAGGAGCATCATAGTCAAATTTAAGAGTTAAATATAGTATATATTTGTTATATGGTCAAAGGAGATAATTATCTTCCTAAATTATATATAGACTATTGTTCCCTAGTATATTATCTTATATATTATAGTCAAAGGAAATAATTAGCTTGATAAAAATGATAACTATCTATTTATAGTTAGTTGAACTCGAATATGACCCGACTTGGAAACGACCCGACCTGATTGTAACCTGCAAATTGTTGACTTGAATATAACCCAACTTGAATCCGAGAATGACCCGACTTGGAAATAACCCAACCTGATTAAACCGCAAATTATTGACTTGAACTGGCCCGACTTGAACCCGAGAATGACCCGACTTTAAAATGACTCGACCTGATTATAATCCGCAAATTATTCACTTGAATCGAACCCAACTCTAACCCGAGAATGACCCGACTTGATTCTAACCTGCAAATTATTGACTTGAACCGAACCCGAGAATTACCCTAACCCGTTTTAATTCGTGAAAACCCGAAGTAAACTCGACCTATTGGTCACCCGACCCGAATGTAATCCGACCTGTTATTAACCCGACTTAAACCAGACCCAAACCCGATAAGAAGTATGACTCGACGTGATCCGACTCAAGCATGACCCAACCCAAACCCGACTCGTGTAGGTTATGAAATTAATCTGAATTGACCCGACCCGAGTTGATCCGACCCACTCTTACCCGACCCGTTTACCCAAATTGACAGCTCAATATATATGTATATATACCTCGTAGAAAGTAATGCATTTAAAAAGAAACAGATATTAATAAAATATCTTAAATATCCTAATCCCTAATGTTAGGATTGTTACCTTCTTGCAAGTAACGCTACATAAAATATCATCACAACCCACCGTAAGTCGGTGATGCCCGTGCGAATATATAAACCCCGTGCAATAACAACATTCATCTCCGGCTCTCTGCTTTCTTCATTCCTCCCCATTTCATTTCATTTTCATTTCATCATCTTCTTCTCATTTTCTTTCTCCTCTTCATCAATGGCGCATCGATTCTCTAAATCCCTAACAACCCTTTTCTCCACAACCTCTTCAACCTCCTCAGGTGTTCTGAAACTCATCCCAAATTCTCTCTCCTCCCCAATTTTCACCAACCCCAGAAACCACCTTTCCACTAAAGCCCGCCTCATCGAAGTCGACCTCGATTCTGTCTCCGATGGCGGAGAAATCGAAGTTATTGGGTTGAAGAAGCTCGAAGATGCTATCCATGGTATCTTCGTACGACGGCTTGCTCCTGATTGGCTCCCTCTTCGTCCTGGTTCTTCTTACTGGGTCCCACCTAAACGAACCTCTGATAACATTGTTGAGATTGTGGAAAGGCTTACTAATCCTTTGACTGAGGAGGAGTCTCTTTCTCTCTCCTCTGCTTGTGGTTGGCCTTCTTCTTCCTTCTTCTTTGAAGGTTAGCAACTTTGCTTTCTATTTTTTCGATTAAATTGTCTTTCAATTTTGGAATAATTGATTTTTTTAGGAGTAAAGTTTAAAACTTCAAATGGGTTTTTGTGATCGTTTCTATTTCTGTGTTGTTGAATCTGTTGGGTGGGTTTAATTGATTGGGGTTGTGAAAGGTATTGTGAATTGGAATTGTGAATGGATTCGATTTGACTCGACATTGTGAGTGATAATTTAGGGAAGATTGTGTTTGAGCTTAGTTGGACAATTGGGGAATATGGTGGATAATACCATTTACAAAGGAGACAAAGTTGAACATTTTTAAAGGTGTAAGATCACTACAATAAGGCTTGGAGTAGCTTAGTTGGCATCCTGATTGAGTGATGGCAAGAGTGTAGAATTTGTATGTGGAAATGACTGGAGTATTGGTGATTAATAGTCATTTGTAATTTCGTGCTGTAGTAATGTCTTTTACTAGTGGTAAAGACATTGATCTTTAAGAAAATCTTGTAAAGTTCTATTTGCTAGAGCTAATTAGTAGAGAAAGTTGGGATGATGATCCTCCCAGTGAACTCACCGTGCCCCGAACTTTACTAAAAATTGGTGACAATTGTAAATTTGTAATGGCACTTCTGTAGGTCAATTTGATGCTTAGATTGGTATGAAGAGGCTGTATGTTTGGTTTGATTGAAAGGAAATTCATTGAGTTTTTGAGCTAAAAAGTCACTGTTTTTTTATAGTGTTTATTGGAAAGTTATGTGTCAAAAGACTCGGAACAAGTGTTTGGAAAGGTTGTCTACATCAAGAAGTGGTGATCATTGGTGACAATATTCTTTGACAATCTGTGATTGAGTAGAGTATAACCAGAGTTTTAATGAGGGAAGCAGCCTATAGTATGTTGTTATTTTAAGAAGAGGAGAAATATTGGTATAAATCATTTGTAAATGGCTGAAGTATGTTATTATTTTACAAGTTTAATTTTGCGAGCTTTTTATTTGTCTCAGTGGTTACAATTCATTTGGGTCTTCTACTCTTGAAATTCTAATGCTAAAGGATATAGGAAAAGTTTCCTTGACTAGAACCTGGCTTTTACTTCACAACTCCCCTCCCCTTCTTCAATTTGAGAGTAAATCCATAATGTGTATATGCCCTTTTTCAGTTAGCTTTCCTTATTAATATATCTCATTGCCATGCCAGTAAACTTAATGTACTTTAAAAGTCTTCTTGATAGTAATTTTTAAACCTCTTGTTAATTGTTTTCAAATGTATGAAGTGCCTTGATATGTTGTCGATGAAAAACCCTACTTCTAACAGTTCTGGAATCAAGAGTTGATTGAGAGGTCAAAATGTGTGATAGTAAATTCCTTGTTTCTATTCCATCTCTTTCTGATGTTACAACAAAACATGGTTCATGAAGCAATTACAACATTAATCCAATGTCCTCTGAACTCTCTGCAGATAAATTTTCTTATAGTGCTTTCTGTTTAAGTCTTTATGAAACTGATCTAAGTAAATGTTGGGTTCATGGGATATTAGTTAAAGAGATGTTGAGCTGGAGCCTTGCTGCAAAAGTTTCATTTTTTTTTCCCAGACTGTTTTTGCCCAATTTATTCAGTAGTCATTGACCTTCAGGAACCTGTCTTCTGACTAAAATATCTTCAAATGCTGTCATTGGCCTTTATTAGCCTACATTGCCTTTTTCATTTTCCTGACATATTATGTACCTTGCAGCATTTTGTGAAATGATTCGACTGATTGATTGCAAAATGATAATCGGCTCAGGCTGTTTCACATAAACCTTTTTTCACTGCTAGACAGCAACGATAGTATGCATCAGTAAAGGAGGCATGTCTTACTGGGGGGGGGGGAGGGGGATGAATGATTTTAGAATTTTTTTATGTGAAGTACAAAAAAAAGTTGAATATATGCAAGTTTATAGTTCTAGCCCTTTTTTCCAGTCAGAATATTTCATTATTAACAATGTCTACGTGCTTTTTGGTGACAGGGTCAGTGCCAGATCATAATACTCCTGTGAAGGTAGAGGTACAGGTATTTGACCCAAGCAACTTAGGAAAGCCGTCATTATCTGAGGATGAGGAGTAATGATCTACATTTATGACCAGTTTACTTTGCCTCTTGCAGTTGTTTAATGGTAAGCAGTAAGTAGTATCTATATTTTCAATGTAGATCTGAAAATGATTTGGTATCCCCACAATCATGATAGCAGGTTTTTCAAACTTTAAATAATTTAATTTTAGCATTGGTGCTGATATCAGCTTTGAACTCGAAATTTTGATTATAATGTGTTGGGTTGATAATTTCTGCTGTATGATCTATTTGTATCTCTATGCAACTAATTATGTTGTTTGTGATAATAATGTCTTTAAATTTATGTGCTGGGGCTCCATATGAATATTACTTGGCTTGATGCTTTATTTTCCATGAAGTATTCTAACATCTGCCCTTAATCATAACATCCCCGTGTCTTCTATTACACATTGTAAATTGACATCATGACATGTTGTTATTGTTTCCACTCTTTATTTGGATATATCAGCAGGAACTTGTGAAGGATAATCAACTGTGCTTTAATGAATAAATAAATAGAATCAAGAATAAAAAAATCACTATGACACTAAGCTACAGTTTCAATTCTAACTCTGGAATTTGGTCTAAGAAACTTTAATTTTGCACTAGGTTGATTATAATTAGAGGGTAGATTCTGATTTCTTAAAAGGCATGTTTCCTTAGTTGATTGCATGCATGTGTAATTGTATTCTCTTGCTAATAAACTGTTCGAAACTACAGGCTTTTGCTCGTGCAAGGTTTGATCATGGAAACTTGAAAATCAGAGAGTATTTATTCTGGAAGGCAACCAAGTATACTGGCATTTGTACATAATGTAACCTGTAGTTTCCGCAGCAAAACAGTTTACTTTCACCTTTTCTGATGTCCATATGGTAAAGCTAGGTTAGTTGTGGAAACTCATCTTGTATTTGTTTCTTGCACATCAACTCAAGGACCTAATAATACAAGTTTGATCTAATTATGCCAAGTATTTCTATTCTGACTGATCCTGCATTTCGTCCGTGTTTATCTTATGAAGTAGCAGGTGTTTTTAGATTCATGTTTTTTCTGTGTTCATCTTATCTGGTAGCCAATGCAGATGTTTTAGATATTTTTTGTTCCATTGCCACAGAGTGGTCACACAGTAAAAAATTTCATCCTGCATTGGCGTCTACCTTCAAACATTCAAGCATTAATTGTGGGAATTTCGACCAAATTACTGTATTGGGGATTTGACCCAAATTATTTGAAAAATAAAGGGAAGCAGAGGTTTTACCATGCTAAAGCTATACTGTTGTAGGTATCCATGGTATTCCATATCCAACTGTGCCTGCCTTGGGTCTGAAACAATCAAAATTGGGGGTGTTGCGCAATTGAACACTCATACTTACAGTGAAACTATATACGTCGTTCTGATTGTGAAACTATACAATCTGTATTCTTTCATTCTTGGACTATACAATACTTAGTGAAACAATCGACTTTGTTCTCTTAGCGAAGTTTGGTTTGAGTTTTCTAAAGTGTAATCTGAAATTTATTTTTATTTTTAGGGGTTAATGGTATATGTAGCTCTTAGCGCTTAGAATAAACATTTAATATTTTTCTTTATATGGTATTAATTTAGGCTATGCATGACAAAAACGGTGTAATTAATGTTATGTTTTCATTTCTTTTTTTTCATTTTTAACTCCTTAGATCTAAGGGATATGTATAGCATTTTCCTTTTTTTTTTTTTTTTTTTTTTATTTTTTTATTTTTAATCTGGTCTGTTTGATTGTCTTATTTGACTACACATTGACCTTAGGTGTACATCATTATATAAGAAAAAACATTATCAAGTGAAATCTTGATAGATTCATCTTAACGTATATTTTTCAAATAATATCTAATTTTCATAATTTTTACAAATACTTAGTTATAAGAACATGGCAATAAGCTAACAAAAATAAGATTTGATCTCTGAAATTTTCTAGTTTGATCTAATATGGTTTGATTGTAACCAAAATATAAAATTAGCAATAAGAATAAGGTGAAGAGTTTCACTGCTTAAATTCCTACATAAAATTGTCTCAATTAGGAACGTTATTTTGCATTGGAAAAAAGTAGGACTGTTGTATTAATTTTTGCTGCATTTGAAAAAGAATGGCAATGTTGTATATGATTTCGACGATGATACCAAACAGAAAAATGTAATAATAAATTCTTACTCACAAAAAGAATGAACGAATACATCATTGATTAAGTTGCACCTAGATAGTAAAAATAAAAACTTAAAGAAACCATAAAAATTGAAGAGATAAAATCATTAGCTCGTCTAAAGTAGACCGTGATTCCCATGGATGGGTGTTGCTTGTTGAGGGAAAGCGGAAAATGGATCCCCAAACGGGTTAGATACACCCATAGCCATGGATTGCTGCTGAGGGTATTGAGTGGGAGAAGTGCTTTGGTAAGGCACCATCATCATACTCTGGGATGGCGGTAGTTGCTGGTGATGATGCTGCTGTTGCATCATTATTTGCTGTTGATGTTGCTGAGACATAGCCATCTGAACGTTGGTGGGTGGTGCGAAGTTATTTGACATGAAAAAGGGGTCCTGTTGTTGTTCGTATGGGTTGTGTACTTGTGTCGCACCTGCTCCCATCCCATATGGCCCGTATCCTGCATTCTGCATCTGTAGCTGTCTTCTTGCATTCTCGTCTTCATATAAGCTATTGAGTAATAAGCTGTCAAAGCCACCCGCCTGAACACACGTAACAGCAGAATGATATATCTAGGGTAATGTTACTATAATTTTACAGGTAGATGTTTAGAAGACAAACCAATTTGGTATCTGTAGGCGGAGTACTGTTGATGTTGCTGGGTGTTGTAACTAGAGCTAGCTCCCATCCTGATGTACCACTGAATTCTGTTAAGGCATTGCTTGCTGAAGATCGATTTTCACCTCCTGTGTTGCAACCAAAATCAGAATATACACACAATATGTGCGAGTGTGACAAATAAGTGAAAAGGCTAAGGCAGTAATCTAAGAGAACTATATTTGGAATTACCTGGTGGAATAATGGCAAGAGCTAAGGCATTAATTTCTTCCAATTCTGCAGCTTTTGGATTTATTTCCTGCAGACCATGCAGAAATGATCCAGACAACGAGAAGTCAGAATTTCAGAAGTGTGAACAGTTTGCGAAAGCAAGATCATAATATGGACTTACAAGAAGATCATCATCCGTTGAAATCAAGGGAGGAGGTTCTGGTTGAGGCTCTGGCTCAAGCTCTGGCTCTTCCTCGGGCTCTTCTGTTTCCTCTTCCTCTTTTTGACTTTGTTCGATTTCAGGTTCTTCAACTTTGTGTGGGGATTCATCCTTTTCTTGATACTCCTGTTGAAGCATAGTTTTGAATTCAAAAAACATAATCACAAGTTTCATAGCATGACTAGGACTGAATTGTCAAGTTGGAGTTGTATGTTAGCAGTAGACTATGAAATGAGGTTATAAATTGAGGGTGAAAATATTTCTCACTAGTCTCTTTGCAACAGAACCGCTGTGTGGTGCTTCTTTGACATATTCCTCCATAGTAGCCAAAAATGAGGGGGGTGGCTATTGATCACGACAAATTTCAGGCCATCAGTTTGTAGAAACTTTAGAACACGAAACTGAAAGAAAAAGAACACAGTCGCTTTCCAGTTGCAGAAAATTACCTGTCGTAGTGTTGGGAACTGAAAGTTCCTGGCTAGATCCAATCTTTTGGAGAATTCGTAAAAATCAGCTAAAAATTCAGCCTGTAAAAAAAGGAATATGGTAAAAAGAAAAATTGCAAGAAGAAGCTACAAGTGGATGGAATGAGCTTCATTCTTTAAATTGCTACACCATACCTGCTGACCAGCTCTTTTATATATGTTAAGTGCTTTTACAGCATCATGTTTAGTCATGTCGAAAAACTACACATACATGAAGAAAGTTTTGAAGATTAGCTGGTGAAGGGAAACTCTTGAAAGGAATGTTGGAATTATCAAGAAAAAATAGCTTACAAGTTCTTGGATAGAAATTCATACCATGTCCACTAAATTAATTATACCATCATTAATCGCGCAGTAAATTTTGAAACTCTCTTTCAGCACCTACATCACAAACATGTGGGAAAATGTGAAATCAAGCTTAAAAGGAAAGTTTTACATCCTTTGTGTTTCTGTCAATCCAAATGCAGTTGTAATTGTATGCTGAATGTATTGAAATGCTTCAGAAACAAAGTAATATGCTTACCAAAGCTAGAGCATACTGTATGAGATAATTTGTGCAAGCTGTTCCTTCAGGCTGCCAAAAAGTTAGGGAGTCGTAACATTTGTTAGCCAATAAATTCGAACTATTACTCAGAGATACATGTTTTTAACAGTTTGATTACGTTAAGTACAGCAGCAGCGCCCAACTGCAGGCCCTATGAACAAACTGCCCCCACTCCTACCCCATCAGTTGAAGTTTCGGCCTTACAACCTGGGTTGTGGCTGGCCAGCAGCACAAAAAAATTGAACTAACTACGACGTTCAGTAATGAGACTCTGGAATAACATATACGAAGTATTATAACTGTGACAAAGTAGCAAAAATCAGAGCCTAAAACAGAGTTAATTCTTACCTGACAACCCATCAACCGGAACAGAAGCTGCTGAAGAGCAGGTAGTTGCTCCAACAGCTCCTCAGCAGTCAATAGCCGTGTTCTACTATGTACCTGAGAAAAAACCTAAGCTACATTACCTCTATTTTGAGTATTTTATCCTCCAATACCAGCAAAACACACATATAAAGAAGGGTTAAAGATAACTGATGACAATGATTGATAATACTGAACAAGTCTTCTGACCTTACTTGCACCTGGTGAAGATCTTGTCAACCGTTCTGCCTCAATGTCATACTTCAAGACCCTAAAACACTCGAGCCTTTCCTCGAGGAAGAGTGCATATGTACGAACCCAAGCAGAACAATCCCATGCTGCATTGAGATTCACATAATCCTCGACATTATCCTCCAAGTAAAACTATCGAAAAAAGAGGAAGTAAAGAAGGTGTAGGACAAAGAGGGTACCTAGAGGGCTTGAATCATCCTTAAAATTCGATATTTGAAGGACATGTCCTCTGTGTGAGTAAGCCAGTAGCTCCTCCCTAAATGTAGGATCTCCCTCTCTTAATGTCCTATGAATAACTATCAATACCTTTATAGCAACCTGTTGATTACAATTGTTTGTGTCAATATATCATAATCAACTCCTAATTAGTCTGTCAACAAATCGAAAACAATTGCAGGAATATGTAAAAAAAATGAAGAGAAACTTTACAATCCAATTTTTGGTCTTGTTCAATCTCCTTGCTAATGCATGAATACAATAAGCAACATCTGCTCGTGGCCGAACGACTGATGTTGCAGCAAAAACTTCTGATCAACAATAGAAACAAACTAATCAAAATGAATACACAAAACTATGTAACACAAAATTCATGAATTTTGCATTATTTGACCATTGCTCATATAATCAACCACCAACAAGAACAAGTTAATTATGTGGGAATTATAAAAAGAAATTTAATCCCTTTAATTTCCTATGTTTGACCAACTTTCATTATCTAATAATATAACATGCATGTAAACTTGTCAACAAATACTCAAGATTACATTTTTATAACAACGTGATATTGTGATTTGTGATCACCTATTTTAAGCTAACAAAAAACATGATGTAAACATTTTTTGGCTCAGGCAATGCCTCAAATCATTATATTGCATGTCATAAAACTCGGGTGAAAAACTCACTTCTAACATGTCGTTCCTTTGGAGGAGCCTCAACATGATTCGTCGCCTTCACCACAGCTATATCCAAATCCTAAACAGAACATAATATAACAAAAATTTTAAAAATCAAACAATTTCCCATTTTATGATATATTATGATCATTACATAAAATCATTTACAAAATGTGTGTAGGAAAAAAAATAAGAAATAATAACCTTGAATTCGCTGTTGACTTTTGCAAGGCCAACGGTGGTAGAATCCTTAAGCGCTCCATAGGCTTTTCGAAAGCTCTGAAATGTTCCCATAAAAATGCAATCTTTTTATGTAACAATTATTATGTATTATATAATGTGTATATATTGATTAAAATGTAATGATTTATGAAATGTAAGATATGAAGAAAAACCCAGAAAAATTATTTGATGATGATGATGATTTTGTAATGAAAATGGGTTGTATAACAATGTCAAACAAAATACAAGAAACAAACATATCTTTCTCTCTCTTCAATTCATGTACAAGTATTTTTTTTTCTCTCTCTCTCTATATGTCCAATTTGTGCGCAACAAAAAGGATGGATGAAGGATGACTTGAAGTGGGGGTATTTTAGTAATTCTATAATTGATGTAATATAATTTGGGATTTGATTTTGCTTGTTTTTTGCCTTTGATATTAGGATGAAATGACAAAATTAGCCTTTTATATTTATTATTTATTTTTTGGAAGGGATTTTAATTTTATGCTTTAATTTGATCATCTTTGGAGTTGGCAAAGATCATGGCATGTTGGTATTAGGAATCTTTTTTTCTTTTTCTTTTTTTTGGGCTTAATTGGCCATCTTTGAGGCCGGACCAAAAAGAAAAGGAAAAGATGTAATAAATTTTATAATAAGGTTTCTAAATATAATATAATTAATAGTTTGTGATGATGAATTATTGATTAAAGAAGTCTAGATTGCTTTGATTTGAACTTATGAGCAATTAAAATACAATTTAATCATTGTCAAGGATAGTTGAGGTTGGCTTTATTTTGCCTTTTTTATTAGTTAGCCAACCTTGAATTTTTTATTTTTTTTTTATACTATTGAAGAAATGCTTAGTTCTATCTAGCTTATTGTGAGAACTATAGCTTATAATGTGGAATGAGAATCGATTTGGACGGTTAACTCTCTATTATCATGACATTAAAATATAACTAAGTACATACATTAATATTGACATTTTCATGATATTGCAATGTCTCAAAAGGGTCCAAATTCTCTCAATTAAATTCATTTACTTTTACAAGATTTTTCTCCACCCATTTTTAAGTTGAATAATAAATACATTTAACAATTTTAACAAAGAAATTTATCAAGTTCTAGTATCAAAAGTACAATATGAAAAAAAAAAAAAAAAAAAAAAACATTAGGATAAAATGTGTATTGATTCATAAACAAATAAGCAATATATTGACTATATATAAATGAATTAAAATCATACTCCTAAATAATAATTGAATAACAACATTAATATAACAAACTCTTAAATCATTTTGCTCTAAAATTGTTTAACTTATATTGTCCTTTTGATTAAAAGTAAAAGAAAATAAAACAGTATAATAGATTAAATTGATACAAAAGTAAATGAAACAAATTTTAAGCTAGGTAAAGAGGATTAGAAAGAAGTTTGGAGTGTTAAAAAATTAGAACAATGCTATAATTGACACGCATGATATCTTGATCGCTTGATTATAGTGATCTAACAACCCAAACTAAATCTTAATTCTGGTTAAAAACCATGCTTCTTCTTCTTCTTTTTTTTTTTTTTTTTTTTTTTTTTTTTTTTTTTTTTTTTTAATAGAAAACCCATGCTTCTTAATTAGTGGGAAATCAGATCAAATTGCCAAAAAAATATCCAATTAATTATCATCAAAATTCTTCTAACTAATTTTAAATTTATACTCAGTACTTTGTATTTGTAAGTTATCAAATACGAAGTATATACTTCATTTATACTCAATACTTTGTATTTAATAAATAACTTTTTATTTAATTTATTATTCAAAAATCTAAATGAAACTATATGGAAAAAAGTAATTTATCAACCAACTGCTTTCATTATTTAAAAAAAAAAAAAAAATTCAACTATACCAACAATGGTTAGGTGCATGGAACTTCGCCAACTACTAGGTGCGGTCCATAGCTCCATATATGACTATATGAGCAATGGTACAATCCATACTCCATAATCCGTAGCATATATACTACGTAAATGACTGTATTTCTAACTCAAATTTTGAGTGAAGCCAAAAAAACTTAAGTGGTTAGAGGCTTAAATATGTCTTTTTGATGTTGGGTGATTATGAGATTGATTCTCATTGCCCTTCTTTTAAAGCTATCTAAACCATAAAAAAGTTTGTCGTTGTGTGAAATTTAGACATACTTTCGTAACATGGGCCAGATTTTAGACTCAAATCAACCGACCCGACCCTAATTATGATGACTTAATTGTAAAATTTGCTTACGTGGCAACATTCCATTGGCACCCATGATAAACTCCACGTTTAATTTTACTCTCTATTTTCCTTTTCCTAATTTCTTTGTACTTCCAAATTATCCCAAACGAAAAGAAAGAAAGAAAAAAAATCAAAAAAATTGTTTAAAAAAAAAAAAAATCAAAAAATTGTTGCGAAGCAAAAACATTGAAGCGAAGTCAGTGATCGCCGGTACCATTATTACCGAGGAGAGAGAAAATCGGATAAACAACAATGGCGGAAAACTCCGATAATCAGCCCACCGTTTCCGACAATTCTACACCTCCTCCTAAACCTTCTCAAGATGATCTTAAACTTCCTCAGGTTTTATTCTACTGCTGATTAATCTTGTTTTTTTAAAAAAAAATTTATGATTAAGATCTGTTTTTAGGGTTTTCAATTTTAATTTCATTGTCAATTTGATTGATTTAAGTGTGTAATTTTGTCAATTTGTGAACTTTTTTGGCTTTAGGTTTAATGCCTGTGTTTTTTGATTTGTTGGATGTTAATTGTTTATGTTCTGCTTATTTATGTTAATTCTGTGAAATTAAGGATTTCTTGTTAGCCACTCTATAGTTTATTTTGGTGTGCTGAGAGTGTACGGGATTTGATCATGGGTGCGAACTTCGAGACTTTAACCAATTAAGCTAGTTTGCTTCCGCTCATATAAGCAAAAAGACTTTAACCAATTAAGCTAGTTTGATTCCGCTCATATAAGCAAAAAGACTTTAACCAATTATTATTTAGGAATAATTTAAGGCTTTGTTGTAGGGTTTTGATGTATGTTATTTTGCTTAATGAATGGGGAACTTAGTTTTACAAGAGATCATTGACTCATTGTGCAATGTTGAGAACAAATGTACAATATAGAATTTCTCCCTAAAAAAGGTTTGTCTTGCCTCAATTTCGAAGGACTTAAATCGTTCAATTATAGTTTTTTGAAGTTTGATGATAATAGGAGCCTATAAATGTGGGATTGTGGGAACATATTGGCCGGAAGCGCTTTGTGTGAACGTCTATATCATGGTTATGACTTATGGAATTGTTATGAATTTTCTTTGTGAGCTGATTATTGTTTGAATTGTATTATCATGATTCGGTGTTTCACTTTGTTGTCACGCTATCTCACTTTGTAGTTGACATGTTGTCTCAGGTGCCAAATTTCCCTTATTTTCCACCTCTACAACATGGTGGTGTCAATATGTTACCGATCATGTACCCCACACTACTTCCAGGTATTGCTAATGCGCAGAACTTAGAGCAGAATAATCGTGGACCAGGCATTTATGCTGTTCCGATGCTTCCATTTATGGGAACTGTCACTGGGATTCCCACTGATACTCTCATTCCTCTTACATACAGCACACCAACGTAAGTATTGATTTCGGAATGTTTCAAGCATGTTAGTGTTTAATTTACCGGCTAATATTTTTGTAACTTCTCTACAACACTTTTTGATTTTGTTATTCATATACCCTTATTTATGATTGATTAGTTTATAAGTCGAGTGTAGTTGGAATAGTCCCCTCGACAAGAAAGGATCAGGGGAATAGGTAACCTTTCTAATGTTTTTGGCAGAATTTTCTGCGGTAAGAGATAATGGTAGCAAAGCAAACGTATTGTTTTCACCTTTTACTTTACCAGTTTGTCTAGACTAGATGTAGAATTTGATCTCTTTGACATTTTACTTATTTGGTTCTCATACCCGGTGCTCTGTTATTCTTCAAGTAAATGATTTTTGTTCGTTATTTGTTGTGGACTTCTGGTCCAGAGTCTTTGGCATTTGTAGGTTGATTAGGATTTGCTAGATTGATATTACAATGTGTATTACATTTATTTGTTTACCAAACTAAGAGTCTGATGATTAAATTATTAGACAATAATCATGTACGCACTTTTATATGAAAAAATGGGTTGTGGGAACCGAACAAACTTATAAAAGGGGTGGAATGGTTCTGTTCTACAAGAAATGAGAGATGAGGCAGCATAACCTAATAATTTTATTGCTCAATGGTAACAGGAGAGTAGCCTCTTCTGAGGCTGGAACTGCTAGTGGGGAGCAAAGCCAGGCGGGCCAGCAGCAGCCACAGCAACAGCAACCTCAGCTTGGACCTCAAAGACAAATTGTTGTACGGAGATTTCAGATCGCATTTCAGCTTGACTTGCTGCTTATATTAAAGTTGGCAGCTGTGATCTTTATATTTAACCAAGATGGGTCGAGACAAAGGCTTGCTCTGCTTGTGTTCTTTGCCTTTATCGTCTACTTGTAAGTATAAATTAGTGCAATTATGGGTCTTTATCTAATGCATCTTCACTTAAGTCTAAAATAAAACTCTTAACCTCAAAGTTCTGTGCTTTTGTGTTTCTTTAAACTTTACTTTTAGTCTTTTAGATTTATGCACTGAATTAGCTTTTTGGATCATCATTCACAAAAGACTGGAAAGCTTTGTGGTATGGAATTTTTGTGTGGAGTCCATCCCACAGGTGGCCGATCATCGGGGCAAAGCACTCGAACTAAAAATGTCTGAATTAGCTTTTTGGATCATCATTCACAAAATGCACGTTTCTTATTTAGGATACCTCTCGTTGCACTCTTTCACTTAAAAATCTACAATTACTCAGTCTTTGTATTGGGATGCAGATACCAGACTGGAGCTTTAACTCCACTTATGCGTTGGATTTCACAAGCAATGCACAGGGCAGCTGCTCCACCCCGGCCACCAAGGCCTGCTGCCAGGGTTGACCCAATTGTTAGACAAGGGGATGATAATGTTGCTGCAGCTGCTGCTGGTAATCTATCTTTTTTTTTTATAGAAATCTTGTACATTGCATGCATTTTGGGTGATAATTGCTGAAGAAAAAAGTCACTCTGGATTATTATCTGTTTCATGAGTATTTACAACATACATTACTTAATTATCATCACCATCTTAAGGTTGTTATGAAGTCTAGATGTGATGCGTTTTTGTCTGCTTGAGCACTGAATCACTGATAGCGTAAAAATTGAGTTTTCCTGATGAGTTGATTTTGCAACATACATTACTTAATTATCATCTGTCATCCATAAAATATACAACATTTTCTTTTCTCCATGGCCTTTATCTTCCCCTCCCCCTTTCCTAATTTGGAGGGGGTTTACATATTTACATGAGTACATGGGATTCTATGGAGCATTTGCAGTTCTCAAGGTGTATTAAGTGATGGTATCAGGAGATATTGGATCAGATAGTATTCATACTGTAGCCTGGGATTAAATTGTACAAGAATATTGAGGCTATTGTGTTTGAATAATTTGCAAGAATACAAATTGCTTCATACTTTATACTTCCTTTTTTTTAGACATGTCATTTGCAAAAACATGGATTCCTAGGCATTTTTTTGGAGATGAGAATAGAGAGAGAAAATGAAGGACCCATGTGATATGAAAGAGATTGAAAGAATTTATTAAATAAAAAAAGGAAAGTAATGCATTTAATTTGTAACTTTCTTATTTAGAACGTGATGCATCTAATAAAACGGAGGAAGTAGTAGAGGTTAAAGATGATGAGCAAATATGTAGAATAGAAATGAAGGTGCTACAAACACTGTTTTGTAGATTGTGATCACCAGTGTCAGATGACCAAGAAGATGGTTAGTAGAGTAAGTAATTTGTTTCATGGGAGAGTGGGGACTGAGGACTGGGAAAGGAGATCATATTATGTATAGTTTTGGGATTGTGGTAAACATTTCAGTTCATGAAATTAGCTGGAGAAAAAAATGGACAATTTCACATTAGGACAGTTAGGAATATTAGAATTTAATTCTATTAATTTGATGTTTTATTTCTTTAAGGTTTATAGTAGTCAAGTAACCTTATATTAAGGTGTCATTGTATTCTTTAAGAGTAGAGATGATAATATGAGTTGAGCTGTTGTGCGTAAACCTAATTGTGAAATTCTTATTTAGACTTTGAACAGGTTTTTAACTTCGGATTTAGTGTCTTTGGCTCTTTGCCATTGAATTATTGCCCTTAGAAGTCGTTGCATTCAATTTGTCCATTGGGTCATCAAGATCCATATCATATAGCCCAATAAGAATGAAGTATTCAGTAAGAAGCTATTCTTTGACTCGTGATTGATTGCCGATGAAGGCCACTGATAGACATGGATTGTTGTGGAGGCCAATGCTGGATGTACTTTATAGGATACAGAATATATAAAGGGACTTTATAGTGAGTGTGTGTAAAAAGTATTTGAAGAAATTGATTAGTGAACGCACCAAAACCAGACAAACTCTCCAATTATCCATGAGGCCTGCATGTTTGCAGCAAAATCATTTATGGGGAGGTTAATTTCATATGATAGAAGTATTATCTAGGAGGTGAAATTTCATTCTAGAACAAGGTCTTATCTTATATTAACTTATTAAGAATAGTATTTGGCGAGTTAAACTCAAAGATAACTCTTCTATTTGATGTCAATCACCCTTAGATAAGGTAATTAATGAACAAGAATCAAACACTAGTAAGAATTTTAGTGTCAATTAATCTGCCTTATGTTGGAGTTTCGTGTGAATATTTTTACTAACAATAATATTGTACTTCCTCTACTGGTTAATTGTTCTGTTATTCTATTATGACTTGTGATGTTCTACTGATGTGTGCGTTGCATTAACTTCCCTGCAACAGATGCAGAACCTGGTGCAGAAAATGACAATCCACCAGCAGATGGTGCAGAACGTATTGCTGAAAATGAAGCTGCTCCAGAGGCCGGAGTTGAAGGAGGCAACCAATGGTGGGGTATAGTTAAAGAGATTCAGATGATAGTTTTCGGCTTCATTACCTCTCTCCTCCCTGGATTCCACAACATGGAACATCATGCTTAAAAGGCTTATGGACTAACCAAATCACTCCACCCATGCCAAGTACATTAAAATTAATTTCAACATATGCATCGTACAATAGATGGATAGTATGAGAAGAATTACGATGTCTAGGTTCAAAGTGAAGATGAGTTTTATACCTGTTAAACAATTTGCATATCAATGTCTTTTTATCTTACTGTGAGGGTAGAAGGTGTCCATGTTGTTACTGTGAGGGTAGAAGGTTTTCATGTTGTATTCAACGAGTATATCTTAGTAAATTATATTTCTTTTTCTTCACTTTTGAAGTGTTTAGTTTACCATGAGGAACATCAATGGTAAAGTGGTAAATGCATTTAAAGGTAATGGACAACGTTGTAGATTCTTGGAGAAATTTCTGCTGTCATGCTAAAAAGTATTTTAATTTGCTAGGGAGAGATGTAATGTACTCCCTTTGCTTTGAAAGCGACATCAAACCCTAAGCAAATAGGGTAAACATTGTTTTAAAAATATATAGGTGGCACATTGCATTTATATATGTGCTGGCTTGTAAAAAACGGAAAACTCCCTATTATATTGACTGAATAACCCCTTATAGACCGGCCTTGTTGTGTAATGCTTAAAAAATAAAGGTTTTCCTACAACACTACTCCCTTAATTAGATTTCTACTTTAATTAGATTTCCACTTCTCTGGCCGAAACCTCCAAAATTTCTCAAATAAAAATTACGTGGATATTAACCTTCAATTTTAGAAGTTTTTGACTTTTTTGCACTCAGAAATAAAAATTGTCGAAATGTTAACATGGTTCCTAATACCCTCCAAGAGTCCAATTGGGTGGGTGGAACCATTCTATTTGCCATTAAACGGCCAATTTACTGGTTTACAACTTGCATCGGATCAAATTAATTCAAGCTTACTATGAACATTTATGACAACATATAATGATCATATATGGTTCAAAACGACATTATATGACCCCAAGATGCATCAACTTTTCGACACCGGGCCTCAAAACATCCCAAATTTCTCAAAAATAGTGGATTTCAATTTTGAAATATTTTGAATTTTTTTTCCCGAAAATAAAAATTGCCCAAATGTTTACCATGGTCCCTAATAACCTCCAAGAGTCCAATTGGGTGGGTGGAACCAACCATTTTCCTTTAAACGGTCAATTTACCAGTTTACAATTAGCACCGATTTAATAAACTCCAGCCTACCACGAACATTTATGACAACATACAATGATCATTTATAGTTCCAAACGGCATTATATGACCCCGAGATGTACCCCCCATAATCTCATTTCCTTTCGACCCCAGCCCCAAAACCTTCGAAATTTCTCAAAAAGCATGGATATTACCTTAGGTTTTAAAAAATCAAACTACTTGACATAAGCTTAATCGTTATTTTTCGTATTGCCTTATAAATGTATACCTTGCTTTTCAATAATTACCATTATTAAACCCAAAAAAAAAAACAAAATTACCATCATCAATTCACAAACAGGCAAACGGCTATGAGCCTATGGCACAAAACTGCAAAACATAGAGCCACCCTAAATGAGTTAAGACTTAAGAGTATAATCAGGTACTCAATTCTTCAATTTTTCACCTTTTAGGTACTCAATTTTTTTTGCTCACCTTTTAGGACTCAAAATTATTTTCACGCTAATTAACTCACCACTAACCATACCTAATTACAAAAAATAATTAAAAAAAAAAAAAAAAAGCAATGACTAATTTTTCTGTTGAAGCAGACAAAAACTAGCCGTAGTAGGCAAAAAAAATGTCGTGAATATAGCAGCAACAAAGTAGCAGCAAAACAGAATCACTCCAGTTTTCTTATCCTAAATCCATCATCAACGAATTTTCCCAAAACAAAAAAAGAAAAAAACAAAATTTCTGAATAATTGCTGCTTCATCCAGTTCTTCCCCTTCTTTACCAGTCTAGTGTCATCCAGGACAAGAAAAAAAAAATCTGAACAGAGCTTCAAGGTCAGAAAATAAGCCTCAGCCATTCTGCCCTAAACCGAACACACTGACTGTAATCCCCATATTTATAAATATATTATAAATGAATTTTTATTTTATTAATAATATTTATATGTGTTTTTCCGGGATTTAAGTTTTAAAGTTCCAAATTATTTTTGGGTTAATGATTGATTTTGTTCTAAAAGGATTTTTAATTGTCCATTCAACAATTTATGCCATACATATTAAACAAAGCTAGCCCATTTCATTTATCTTATGAGGCCCATTAATTTTATGAGGCCCAATCTTAAAACTAACCCTACACCACTCTCTCTCCTGTAAATACCCCATACATTCCCAAAAATTTCCCCATACAAAAGGTTAGTCTTATTTTCTTTCTCCTTTGTTTTATTAATTTGTGTAATTATAATTATTGATTATGGGTTTTGATTTTATTGTTTGAAATTAATTTAATTAGTATCAAATTGTATTTTGATGATTAAACTTTATAATTTCAGATTTTACAAATGTTATAATTTTCAGATTTTGTAAATTTAATAACCTAGGGTTTTTAATCATTGAAAATCATGATTTTAGGGTTTTTATGAACAATCGATTTAGGGCTTTTATAGTAATGATGTTTTGAAATTTTGGTGATTATACTACTAATTAGTTTAACTTAATTCCAGATTATTTTGAACACGTAAATTCGTGTTTTAATGTTTAGATTTTGGTTCGTTAATATTAATCCCGTTTTAATCCCGATCAGGTTCTGAACTCATTCGATTTTGACAAAAAAAGTAGTGTTTTCCATGTGGAAACAATGTTTTAAGAAAGACTCAATACCTTTGGTAATGAGCACCACCCTCTCGTGGCCAAATTCAGCTTCTAAATATGATTTTCGGGCAGTTTTTGATTTTTAACGAATTTTTTTTATGCTTAATGTTTATAATTAGTTTTGGGTTTTGATTTTATAGTATAAAGTTTATATTTTTAGTGTCAAAATCATATTTTTATGTTTTAAACTAATAATTTCAGATTATAATTGTTGTTATAAATTTCAGATTTTATAATTTTAAAAACCTAGGGTTTCAATTTATTTAAATTGGGATTTTAGGGTTCTTATGACTAATTAAATTGGGGCTTTTGTTCCTATTGTATTTCTAATGCATAATTAACCATAAAAACATGTTTTTAATGAAGTTTTAAGGAGTTTTAATCTAAATTATATTGCTGGAAATTTGGTTAAGTATTAATTTATTATTGTTGCTTGTTTTCTAGGAAGTGATTATTTCTTAGGAGACTTTTAAGTGATTAAAAGTGGCACAAAGGATTGTTTATACGAGGTACGTACATGTCTACTTCGTTGTAAGTAGTATCATGTTTAGGTACCAAAGAAAAGAACTTAGTTTCATGATTAGAGAACACTTGGATGAAAATTGTTTGGTTATACATTTAATTAATTCATGTGCTTATGTTTATGAGACATGTTTTGGTGAATTGATTATGTTTGTATGGAATTATGGATGCAAACATGTTGAATTATATTGGATTAATTGTTTGTATGGAATGTTGATACAAACATAATTTTATTGGATTGGTTTGTTAACCACATTTGGATTATTAAAGGATTGGAATTGAATGATTTAAGTGGAATAAATTTATTAATTATTCCACAAGGTTGTTATTTATTTTATTTATAAATCAAGCATGACTTGTTATTATGTTGAGTAAAAGTGGATTAAGCCGAAATGGCTAGGTGGATTGACTATGTTCAACAATTTGGATAATTTGGAAGTTTAATGAAATTAAAGGTCAATTTGTGATGTGATCACCATTGTCCTAAATAAGATTAAAAGTGAATTGATGTATGATTGTTATGTATGGTCTTCTTGATTGAATCGGCTATTAATTAAAATTGTAGTCACGTAAAGTGAAACATGGATGAGCAATAAAACTCTAGAAAGCGTGCACTTCTAGAGTATTGACAATTATGGGTTGGGGTACACGGTGGTAGCCCGTGGATTTCCGAGGCTTGTTTGATCAACATGTCCTCTTTTCTTTTGTTATTTACATTTTATTTTATAATGAAAGTTAGATGGGATCCTAGACTAACTTTGTGAGAATGGAGTCGCACCCATTCTTGCATCGCGCTAAACTTTTATTTTAAATGGTCATTTGGGACCAAAATGATTTGGTGGATTGGACAACCTCGTCTATTTCTTACTCCAACTAAATTAATTAAATTAAATATAAAGAGTCAAGTGTTTGGAATTGATTAGCAAGTATGTTGAGTCGATTGAATTGTTTAAGTGTGGAGTCTTGATTAATGAATTTATGTTGTATGTTTATTTACTTTAATTAGTTGAGCATGCTAGGCTTGGTACGTTGTAGCTTGTATGTACTCAGCTTTGCTGATTGCGTGCTTTTGTGTGTTTTCTTTTGGTCATGGCCTTCGCCTTTCAATGACCCTGTGATGATCCAATTATTACACTGTATTATTGGGGAGCAGTATTGCACAGGTTATCTTGATGATGTGAAGTTCGGGGATTTGACATACGCATTGTCAAGGGATTTGATAATTATCTCCTTTGACCATACAACAAATATATACTATATTTAAGTCTTAAGTTTGAGGATGACACTCCTTTCTTTTGCTCGCCTGGACCGACTTGGTCTCCCGAGACAAAATGCTTTGATCAACAATAATAAAGTGGTCTAAATTGCATTTAAGGTGATTTGAAATCGGGTCCGAAACAATTTGGGTTGAATTTAGGTCGGGTCAATAACAAGTCGTGTTGATTTCGAGTCGGGTTAGTAAAAAAACGGGTTGAATTTTTGGGTCGGGTTAGTAATAGGTCAGGTAAAATTCGGGTTGAGTCAATAATAAGTCGGATTGAATTTAGGTCAGGTCAATAATAAGTCAGGTTGATTTCGAGTCGGGTTTGTCACAGGTATGGTTATATTCGGGTCAGGTTAGGAACGGGTCTGGTTGAATTCACGTCAAGTTATTAACAAGTCGGGTTAAATTTTGGTTTTGACGGGTTAAAACAAAATTGGGTCAATTTCGGTTCAAGTCGGGTTCGGTGCAAGTTAATTTAATTGGTCGTTATAAACTGGTAAAGCGGTGCAAGTTGTAAACCGGTAAATTGGCCGTTTAAAAGCAAATTGAATGGTTCCACACACCTAATTGCACTCCCAGAGGGTATTAGGGACCATGGTAAACATTTCGGCAATTTTTATTTCTGTGCGAAAAAAAGTCAAAAATCCCAAAATTGAAGGCTAATATCCACACTTTTTGAGAAATTTTGGAGGTTTCAGGGACCGGTGTCGAAAAGTCTTGAAATTTTATAGGATACATCTCGGAGTCATCTAATGTCGTTTGGAACCTTATATGATCATAATTTGTTATCATAAATGTT